GCCATGTCAAGATGATTGGTGAATTTGGATCGAGTATCCTCTCCTTTAAAACTTAAAAACACGTTGAAAAGATAATATGTGTGGGTGAAATTTCTTGAATTTCTTTGATATATTATTACGAATTTGGACCTCTGTCATGTGAAAAAAGAGAAGCATTTCTTATATATTTTAAGAAAATGATTTAGATATTTTAAGAATGAAAATACTATTTAGGAATAAAGTATTTTAGTAAAAGAATTTAGGTATTTTATGAATAAATTATATACCCTCGGTTGTAAATACCACTCCACCCTAATTTTAATTTTGTCACAATCGCACTTTGATGGCAGCGGACTTGTAATTATGCGACACTTACTTCTCAGCAACAAGTGAGTTAAGCCTATTCGTTCTCGCATCGCCTACGGTCAAGCAACGTATGCTCAAGTCTCTGGCTCTGGTTCAAGAAGAAAGTCTTAGAAAGCGGGGCAGAGAGATTTCGAAAGAGAGTTTTGAAAGCAAGATTTGAGAAATTGAAATTAGTGTTATATGGGAATGTAAGCAAAATGCAACAACAACATGATTCCAGTCACTGAGATGGATATCACAATTTTTTATAGTTACAGTAACCGCAAAGCATTTCAAAACGTCAAACCAAACTATAACATGATTCCAATCATTGGCAGCCGATGAAGTACTAAAATTTGAAGTAGTTGATATTAACCACATATATTCTGACGTTGACGATAGAAATTCTCTTTTAAAAGAACTTTTGAGTCGATTGCCGTAGCATTTATTAAAGGAAATTACAGCCTTCCCTTGATCTCGAAGCTTTTCCATTTCGTCCACTTTGAACACAACATATGCAGTTAAAGTTCTTTCTATGTTGGGATAGTGTCGAAAGCTAACCTTCATTGGATTTGGTATAGTTTGATAGAACTTTTCTGGGATTTATCCGTTCATTAGAATGAAATGTCTATGAATGTCTTTAATGACCTATAAAGCATAAGAATAGTACAAACTCAAACAAGAATTGAAATGGGAAGATAAATGAAATTAGAAGAGACGAACCTGCTTGCTTGATATCATATTTACAATGTTGTCATATCTAGCCAACGATTCACAACCAGTGCCATCCATTCTTTCTATACGCGGAGGGAGGCTTGGAATTTCTTGAAGAAATTTGCAATTCCTCAATATGAGATTCTGCAAGGTTGTGAATTTGTTTCCCGACAAGGTTAGACTATGTAACGAACGGGTGACATGACATAAAGTTTTCAAAAAATTGGCATTTGACATGTTGCAATTTTCAAGATTCAGCAAAGCGAGATGGAAAAATATAGCCTTTACTTTGAACTCGAAAAAGTTTCTATGAACTGTACTATGAAAAGAGATGAGGTTTGTGCAACCGTAACGTGAAGATCTAATGAAAGAAGTGCAGTAAGGTATCCAATTGATGAAGGTAGCTCCATTATGGGACTTTATTCTCAAGTAGCTCGGAAGTTTTTCAAGCTTAGTGCATTGTGCAAGATTTAAGTCGACAAGACTATCCAAAGATCCAATAGACTCGTGAATCACTCTTAAATTTGTACAGTTATTGAGATACAACCCTTTAAGGTTTGATATTGTTGAGAAGTCCGAAAGACCTTCAAGTTTTTTTTTTTGCAGTAACTAAGGTTCAAAATTTCGAGAGACTCCAACATGAGGTAGCTTGGAAGCTTTTTAATGTTTGAACAATGTCTAAGATCTAAGATAACAAGCTTATTCAAAGATCCAATAGATTCGGGAATTTTTCTTACTAACAACCATCACCAAGTATTGGAAACAAGTAAATTAAAGAAAGTTTGGGAGTTAAGGCAAATACCCTCTTGTACCCATCACAATCTACTCCTTTTTCCAGGCTCAAAAGATTCACCATTGACTATTTTATGAGCTATGTGTTGTATTAAATCGTGCATTTGCACCTTGTCATATTCAACCGTTACAAGTGAAAGATCTATGAGGACTATAATTCCAAAATCTGCATTGAAATGACATGCGTTTAAAATATTCTTAACGTACTTAACTTTTTCTTCAAGTCCATCAAAACTTATACGAAGGACATCACTTATATCTTTGCTTAGAGAGTTTTCAAATTCATCTAATATACTTATCCATTCTGCTCCGTTGTCTCTAATACAAAGGAAAGAACCCAAAACAACAAGAGCTAAAGGATGACCTTTACAATAACTTGTAGCACGTTTTGAAAGGTCTACGTATGCACTTGGTTGATGACGTTTCTTAAAAGCATGCCAACTAAAACGTTCAAGGGCGTCGTCATGATTCATTCCTCGAATACCATACTCTTGATCAAATTCATGGATAGAAAGTAATAGGTTGTTTCTTGTTGTCACAATAATTATACTACTAGGGCCAAACCAATCACGCCCACCCACCAATGTTCCTAATTGCTCAAGCTTATCCACGTCGTCAAGAGTTATAAGAACTTTCTTTGAACACAGTCTATGCCTTATGAGGTTTATTCTTCTGTCAAGATTACCAACCTTTGGCCAAAGGTCCAATCCCATATATTCCCACCATGTAAACACTAATACTAGGCTCATCCTCTGTCCAATAATGGGAGTGTAGCCTTAAAGTTTCTAGTTGATAATCAATGCCAACGGGATACTTTGCTATATATAAGGGCGTGCAAATAAGATTTAATATCGACAATACTTCTTTAACAAGGTCTTGAATAAGATCAGCCTCCTTCCTGTCGTTAACCATGTAGTTATAAAGAAATTAAAGATGATAGAGATTGGATGTAGTAGTAGATGGAGTTAAATTGCTTAGAAATATATACCTAATTTCGAGATCCCAGCTCGACAAGTTGGCTGCAGTAGTTAAAGCTTCCATCCAAATTTGGATTTTTGTCTTGAACTTAGCTTGATGGGTGGCTAATGCTTCTCCAAAACTTTCGATTTGTTTTCGTATAACGGATGGATTCACCTTATAGAAAATTGGCCAAACTATTTGGCCCTTGGGTTTCTTACCTTCGATTATTTTCACCAATTCATCCAAACACCAAGAAGAAGATGCATAATTTTTGGAGAATATAACAATAGAAATCAAAGCTCCCTCTATAGATCGGAAAAGAGATTCAGAAATTTGTTCACCCCTATTGAGCTTGTCATCAATAAAGACATTGACTCCCTTTTGCCGCAAGGCTATATCAAGATGACCGGTAAAATTGGATCGTGTATCCTCTCCTCTAAAACTCAAAAATACATCATAACTCCAATTGAGATTTGGAGAAAAAACTGATGATCCTGCCATAGCAATAGAAGAACACATCAATAAGCATAGAAACACTTCGATTTTATTGAAAGTAAAATGAAATTTTAATAATAAAAGTTGAAGACATAATATAATAGGTGTGGGTGAAATTTCTTTATGAATTCCTTCACTTTTCCTTTTGAATTTCTTTGATGTATTATAACAAATTTGGACCCATCATGTGAGAAAAAGAGAAGCATATGCAATTGAAACGGGTGCCCAAGTTATTATATATATCATGAGTGATACGGAAATAGATCGAGTAATCTCTTCCTTTATCGAAGAAAAGCTCATTTTGACCACTTTATCATATTTTATCATACTAATTTCAAATGGTCTAATGGGAGCAAGAATTTCCAGGAACATATGTAGGCTTTTGTTTACCGAGGGTTCGAATCTTATTGAATCCATCGTTTGGGCTCATAATAAATTAAAAGTTGCAAAATTAGGCGCAAAGAACCAACCAGACTGACCTAGTGGATAAATCAGGAACGAAATATTTTTTTTTAAGGAAAAAAAAAAAGAAACTTTAACGAAATATCCATCGTTTGGCCAGCCTTGGTGACTATGAGATGGAAGGTCTAATGAAATATCTATCTAGTGCTCTGATAGTTCTAGATGATTTTCTCAACACTTTTTTAGGTGTCGCTTAATATGCCTCGTTCTTCAGCACTAGTTTTAAGAGTTTTTTGAATTTCTAATGTTATAACACTAGTGAGTTTTTCTGTCACTCAAGTTCAACTCCCACTTGCTTCGTAATCTCAGAGTTTTTCTTCTCTTTGTTCTTGTACATAGTATTTTCATCAAAAGTCACGTCACAATGTCTCGGAACATAGATAGTCAAAGTTATTTCCATACTGAGATAGTGTAGAAAGCTAACTTTCATTGAATTTGATATAGTACGATAGTTGAACCTTCTCAAAATTTCTTCTTTCATTAGAATGAAATGTCTATAAATACTTGTAATGACCTATAAAGCATAAGAACAATACAAACTCAGAGAAGAAATGAAATGAGAAGAGATGAACCTGCTTGATCTTGACTGGACTTCTACTCAACGATCCAAGTTTGAATTTCTTGATTGGAGATTCCATGACGGCATAAACTTATGGAGAAATGAAGGTGGACTCGAGGATTTGTTTTTAGACAACATTAGATAAGAGAATTTGTTCTCCTTCAAAGTCTAGCTCCTTTATGGTCGTAAAATCCAAATCCAAAAACCTTACAGATTTCATGTTTTCAGCGATTTTTGGAAACTTTTCGAGCTTAGAACACCCATAGATAGCTTTAAATATTCAAGGGACTTTAACTCGAAGTAGTTTAGAAGCTCTTCAAGGTTAGTGCATTTTGTAAGGTCTAAGGTAAGAAGACTATCTAAAGCTCTAATTGACTCGAGAATCACTATTAATTTTGTGCCACGGTTGAAATATAAGTTTTGAAGGTTTGATAATGGAGAAAAGTTTGGAAGTTCCTCAAGTTTTTTTTTAGTAACTAAGCTTCAAAATTTTGAGAGACTTCAACATAGGATACCTTTGAAGCTTTTTAACATTCGAACAACGATTAAGGTCTAAGGTAACAAGCTTACCCAGAGAAACAATTGACTTAGGAATGATTCTTAATTTTATTCGGAAGAGAAATGAGGAATTTTCTCTAATAAAATAGAGTAAAGTAGAGTAACTTTCATTGAATGATTCTTAATTTTATGGATATGTGAGTACAATCAATCTTACTTCCGCTTCCGCTACATTAATTGGTATCCGAACATTTTGTTTGTGGCATTAGGGTACAACAATCGGTATCAGAGCATATAGGTTGTGGCATTGGGGTACAACAATTAGTATCAAAACATTTTGGTTGTGGGGTTAGGGTACAACAATTGGTATCAGAGCATTTAGGTTGTGGCATTGGAGTACAACAATTGGTATCAGAGCATTTTGGTTGTGACGGAGAGGGTAACTTTGTACTTCCTGCATATGAGGGTGTGCAAGTGTGTTTTAACATACACAACACTTGTTTAACAATGTCTTGAATAAAATCAGCCTCATTCCTCTCATACCTGTTGTTAAGCACGTAATCATACTAAAGTTAAAAATGACAAGTTAAATTGCATCAAGAATCCTCTAATATTAAGAATATATACCTATGTCTGAGATGCCAACCAGATAAGTTGGCCGCAGTAGTTAAAGCCTCCTTCCAATTTTCGATTTTCGTTTTGAACTCAGCTTGATGTTTTGCCAATGCTTCTCCAAAACGTCCTGTTTGTTTTCGTATAACCGCTGGATCCACATTATAAAAAATTGGCAAAACTTTCTGGTCCTTAGATTTCTTACATTCGATTATTTTCACCAATTCATCCAGACACCAAGAAGAAGATGCATAATTTTTCGAAAATATAACAACAGAAATCAAAGCTCTCTCTATAGATTGGAAAAGAGATTCAGAAATTTGTTCACCCCTTTCGAGCTTGTCGTCTATGAAGACGTTGACACACTTTTGCCGCAAAGCCATGACAAGATGACTGGTGAAATTGGTTCGAGTATCCTCTCCTCTAAAACTCAAAAACACATCATAAGAAGTCGATGATGATTCTCTCATAGCAACGGAATAACCTACGAAAAAGCTTTTTTCTTTTCGAGTGACAAAGTTTTTGAAGACTACAAACCAAAAATGGATAAGTAGGTATCAAATAAATAGCAAAGAAAACGCGTGGGCTTTTAATAATCTGACCATTTCCATATAGTAGACATGTTCAAATTTAAGACATAAATGCATGTGGGTGCATTTTCTTGACAGTTCCTTAGCTTTGCCTTTGAAATTTGTTTGAATTATTCTCATAATAAAAGAAAAGCATGAAAGTCAAAAGGTTTGGTAGCTTCTATGAAGTTAGGTATATGAAGTTAGATATGTTTATGAAAAATATTTAAATTATTTTTTTTTTATGAATCATTCATATTTGTTATGATATCATCTTATTTTGTTCTTTTCTTCTTGAATTTGTTTTTAATTAGGGTTTATTTGTTCGTTGTCGTTGTTCGTAGCTTGAGATGTCTGTTTTACTCCCGGAATTAGGTCCCAATCCATACGGGAAGGAGATTTCCTATTCAGACACGAAGGGAGTGGGAAAAAATTTTCCCGGTAGGATAAATGGGGTAGAGATAGAATTATATTCTCCATCTTCATCCCGCCTAATTCTCCACCTCATCCCTACTTGTTAAGGATAGTTGACCATTCATTATAAGGCAAATATCATTACGGGTTACCATATTTGTCATTTTACTAAATGCAAATATATTGTATTCATTTATTATTCTTTCCTTTTATCGCTATTTCCTTATTATTTGTAATTTACCTTATTTTTGTATTCTGTAAATGATTATAAATAAGAGAACTCTCACCACCATTTGGGTGTGGTGGATTAATCAAACATTCACACTACTTAATATAAATATTTTTTTCAATATATATATATATATTGTTGTTGGAATTTTTTAATAAAGATTACATTGAAAAAAGAAAAATAAATGGGTAACATGGAAGGCTTCTTCGCAAGAGCTTCCCTCCATGTTGGCTCATTCTTCTTCAAATGTTTGTTTATTTTCATCAAGTGTAGCATTGTTTAAAGAAAATGTTGACAAGTAGTTTGATACAACTTTATGTATAATGTTCTTTTACATTATCCATCCGTAAAGATTCGGAAAAACTCAAAAGTCTCTCTTTATGATCCGGATCGTTGTGATATTCAAATTTAATCTCACCCTAAAAAACTTTGAGATATGTTTGGGAAAATGATAGAGCTATAACTTGCCTAATAAGTATATGTCATGATTTAATATTATTGGACCTCATATATTTTTTCGTTCAAGTACATCAAGACACTTCCTTGTTATGATTAGTACGGACACAACATTATGATATTTATGTTGGCCATGATATTATGTGAGCTCCTTTCCATATGTAGTTTCCGATAGTGTAAGTGTGTGTAAACTGAAATGCAGGTCAGGGTACGTAAAGGTAAGGCACATAATACCTCTTTTTAAGGTAAAGGTAAGCACCCCTTTACATATGATTGTGTCGTTGTGAAGGCTATGGAAGTGAAGCTAGGGTAGTTATGTTTGATGTAGTAGCCCTAAGGTTAGATCAAAGAGTTTGCATTGTTTTATTTAAATTTATGTTTTATATTTTTCGTTATTTTGCTAATAACGTTGTGGTAAATGAATTTATTATGTACGCTTAAGTCCATAGCAACGTTTATGAAATGTTTTGAAGAAATTTGTATACGCATAGCAGACATGTCATGCATGTAATGGCGACCTTGTTCTTAATAAGAAAATAGGGTTGTTACAGTAGGTACCAGAGCTCCAGGCTTCTAGATTTTGTAGACTCGCCTACGATCTAGACTCATAATGTTTTCATGGCCTTACAATGAACGCTTCGTTACCGTCAGGTATGCCTTAGCTAAATGAAGTTTATATGTTATATTATGATTTCCTATGATTGGAATGTGAGTACCACATAATGTATCGATGCTTTAGAACAGGTTTAGATTTAGCAAGATTTATACCGTGATTGTGAGTTATGATTAGGTCTCGCCTCCCAAAGGCAATGTAAGCCAATTGGCATGTGAAATCGAGAAGGAACTTCCTTATTCCGCCATGAACATGTACAAAGAGTGGAACCTCCAATACCCCTAATTATATGAAAAGCTGAACTCTTGGTTTATAACAGGTTTGTTGCAAATGATGTTGTAGCGATCCTATTTGTAGAACATCATGGTTATACATATGAATGTGAAGGAAACAGAGGATTGTTTTACTTCTTGGATACATAAGCATAATACTGAGCCATAGGAACAACAAAGGCTATCACCAGCAAACCTCCAACTACAAGAGAAAACTGACCTCGTTTCTCCTCTGTCTCTTCTCGTGATTTGAAGTTAGATTCGCGCTTATTTTCCTTAAACGAAGGACCACCCGGATCTGGAAGACCATCGATGGCAGCAACTAGCCGCTTCGCGCTGCTATATATGGCTTCATTGTATTTTTCATCGGTAGCTAAGACTGCAGTTGCATAATAAACAATCTTACTCACTCTGCACTTTGTCATAAACTAACAACTACAACCATAATTCACATGGGATTAGAAAAGGGCACAAATACTTCGAACAAAGCACTCCATATATGGGGGTAGCAATACAAAACAACAACGGTTGTTTGTGGTTTTCTTTTTATAACAGTTCAAGCCCACTACTAGTAGATATTGTCCGCTTTGGCCCAGCATATCGTCGTCAGCCTCACAGTTTTACAACGCGTCTACTATGGAGAGGTTTCCACACCCTTGTATGGAATGCTTCATTCTCCTTTCCAACCAAGATGGATGGTGAGATCCCACGTCAATTGGAAATGAGAACGAAGCATTTCTTATAAGGGTGTGGAAACCTTTCCCTACCAGACGCGTTTTAACACCTTGAGGGGAAACCCGGAAGGGAAAGCCCAAAGAGAACAATATCTGCTAGCGGTGGGCCTTGGGCTGTTACAAATGGTATCAGAGCCAGGCATTAGGCGGTGTACTAGCGAGGACGTTGGGACCCCAAGCGGGGTGGATTGTGAGATCCCACATCGGTTGGAGAGGAGAACAAAGCACTGCTTATAAGGATGTGGAAACCTCTCCTTACTAGACGTGTTTTAAGACCTTGAGAGAAATCTCAAAGGGAAAGTCCAAAGAGAACAACATCTGCTAGTTATGTGATTGGGCTATTTACACTTTTCCTTAAAAAATGAGAAACTTATAAGCAAGGGCGACTCATATCAAACACAGGGTGTGAGATCTCACATCGATTGAAGAGGGGAACGAAGCATTCCTTATAAGGGTGTGGAAACCTCTCCCTAGCAGACGCGTTTTAAAACAGTGAGGCTGACAGCAATACGTAACGGGCAAAGCGGACAGTATCTACTAGCGGTGGGTTTTGACTATTACAAATGGTGTCAAAGCCAGATACCGGGTGGTGTATCAACGAGAACGTTGGACCTCCAAGAAGGGTGGATTGGGAGATCCCATATCAGTTGGAGAGGGGAACGAAACATTCCTTATAAGGGCGTGGAAACCTCTCCCTAGCAGACGCGTTTTAAAACTGTGAGGCTGACGGCGATACGTAATGAGCCAAAGTGGACAATATGTGCTAGCGGTGAGCTTGGGCTATTGCACAAACACACTCGATTTTAAGTTCAACAATAAGATACCAATGCACTTAAGGCACCTACTAGTTGTAATGTGTTACAATGTAAGTTGAGCAAGAGGTCAGTGGAGATTGTTAGCTGAGGAAGCTGATGAAAATTAGCAGCTTTAAGTGGGAGATTTGTTCAACGTTCATGACAGATTTGACATAACATTCATAAGTGGAGGAAGTGGTACCTGGGAGGTTCTCTGTTACTGTGGCATCAAGTATGTTTTCTCCAACTGCTTGGATAAAGGCAGGGCCACCAGTAATGGCTCCTTCTTTCTGACTGGTGACAAGAACAACTATACCTTTGTTGTTGCCATCTTCCACAGTGGGATACCAACGCTCCAAAACTTGATCAGCATACTCAAACGCATCAGCTTTGCTCTGCATCCAGCAGTTGATAAATTCATATCAGAGTTCATACATATCTTTTCGTTAGGCATCTTCATATATTTTTGTAACGACTCAAACCCACCGCTAGCAGATATTGTCCTCTTTGCGGCTTTCCCTTTCAGCGTCTGGTAAGGAGAGGTTTTCACACTCTTATAAGCAATGTTTTGTTCTCCTCTCTAACCGATGTGGGATCTCACAATCCACCCCTTTTGAGGGCCTAGCGTCCTCGCTGGCACACCACCCAATGTCTGTCCATGATACCATTTGTAATAGCTCAAGTCCGCCGCTAGCAAATATTGTCTGCTTTGGGCTTTCTCTTCTCGGCTTCTCCTCAAGTTTTTAAAACGCATCTACTAGAGAGAGGTTTCCACACCCTTATAAAGAATGTTTCGTTCTCCTCCCCAACCGATGAGGGATCTCACAATCCACCCCCTTTGGGGGTGCCAGCCGGTGTCTGACTCTGATACCATTTGTAATAGCTCAAGCCCGCCGCTAGCAGATATTGTCCGCTTTGGGCTTTCCCTTCTAGGTTTTCCCTTCCGGGCTTCCCCTCAAAGTTTTTAAAACACGTATGCTAGAGAGAGGTTTTCACACCCTTATAAAGAATGTTTTGTTCTCCTCCCTAACAGATGTGGGATCTCACAATCCACCCCCTTTGGGAGCCTAGCATCCTCATTAGCACACCGTCCGATGTCTAGCTCTGATACCATTTGTAATAGCTCAAGCCCACCGCTACCAAATATTGTCCGCTTGGGGCTTTCTCTTTCAAGCTTTCCCTCATGGTTTTTAAAATGCATTTGCTAGGGAGAGGTTTCCACACCCTTATAAAGAATGTTTCGTTCTCTTCTCCAACCAATGTGGGATCTCACAATCCACCCCCTTTGGAGGCCTAGCGTCCTCACAGGCACCGTCCGATGTCTGACTCTGATACCATTTGTAATAGCTAAGTCCACTGCTAGCAAAAATATCCACTTTGGGTTTTCCCTTCCAAGCTTCCCCTTAAGATTTTTAAAACGCATCTACTAGGGAGAGATTTCCACACTCTTAAAAAAAATGCTTCGTTGTCCTCTCCAACCAACGTGGGATCTCACTATATTAGATTCCCAAGTCCACTTCTTGCATTTTGCAACCGTTACCGCCCACCTTACCACTCTTTGGATAAGCACTGCTCAACCAAAACCAACCTTGAGAGACAAGAAGGATTACTAAGTTTCCCCCAAAGAGATTAAACCAAGACCTTAGATTAGAGGTGATATCTCTAAACATTCCAAGTTTTGGTAGCCTTCATGTCCGACAATCTATCACAATATGATACCCACTTTCTGATAATCACTCTTCAGTAAGATTTTCAAAACTTCATAAACAATCATCAGCCTATTAACACATTTCCTCTAAAATAAAGTACAATTATCTTCCTATAATAACAAAAAACAAATTATTTTTCATGGGTTCTACGATTTGTTTCTCTATCAAGAATTTGATGGACTTACAGTAAGCTTTCTAACAGTGACAAAATCAATGTGAAAATTCTTCCTCAACTCCAAATCCGTCAACAGCCTCTTCAAATCCGACTTCGTAACTCTACTGAGAACTCCAGCATCGTCCACTAGATGCGACTCCTTCGGCGGCCCATCATTGAGCACATCAAATTCAGACGCCAGAGCATTGTGGGTGGCCAACAATGGGGAAAAGTTGAGCGCTAAAGAAATTGCTAGCGCCGCCAACCCATGTTGGAGATGGGAGAACCAATTCGAGGGAACTGGGAGAGATGATCGGAGAGATGATCGGAGTGACTTGGGAGAGGGGGTTTTGAGAGAGAACGAAATGGGGTTAGAGAAAGAAACAAAATGTCTTCTGGGTTGGAAGGAATAAGGGAAGAGATTCTTGGGAGAGGAGGGTTTGGGGTTGAGGAGAGGAGAGAGTGTGTGTGGAGAGAGAATGGTTTCCATGGGAAGATGAAGAGATTCAGATATGGTGAGACATGGATTGCAGAGGGGAAATGGGGTTGAAGGTGTGTTGGTTCCATGAGAAATTGAGTGGTTTGGGATTTTCTTTGGTAGGGACAAGTACTCTTGAGGATGGATAGCGTTCATGTAAGAGCCATCTGTCCTCTTGCCCCTTTCTTCTTTAGTTTCTCAAAGATCAATTTCTTCCCCTTTTTTTCATTTTAGCTATAAGTTTAGCCATTAAAGTGATAGGATTAGAAAATGTTCATGGTTATATTTGTCTAAGGCGTGTTATCCATAGTTACATGCTTGTTATATATCAAAACTCTTACCTTATATCACTTTTATCGCTTTCCTGATGCTCGTTATATATCAATACATTTCGGTAGAATCATGTTTACGATTGATAGACGTGAAATGCCCTATAATGTACTATAGAGGGATGTGACCAATCGTCAACTCCTCCCACCTAGATTTTGTATAACCTAAATCGTCTTAAAATCTATTCTAGGGGTGCGACTAATTGTCAAATTCTCCTTATTTGAAAAGTAATATGTTATTTAAATCATTGTGTTGCCTTTTGCTAGTAGTCATATAACATTGTTTTCAATCTTTCTCTCTCAATCTTGCTTTCAAACTCTATTTCAAAAATTTCTCTGTCCCATTTTCTAAAATCTTATTCGTAGAAACAGGGTCAGAGACTTAAGCATACGTTGTCCGGCCGTAGGCGATGCAATCCTAAGTTAGCTTGGTTCACTCAGTGCTGAGAGTGAATATCGCACCATCGACAAATCCATTGCTAAAAAAAGTGTGATTATGACACGTAGCTCTAGAGGACAAAAATGAGAAAGATATAAAATAATATAACATGTTCATACCAAGTATCTCATTCCTACTTGAGAATGAGTTTAGGACATCTCTTATCAAAACGAGACAAGCGAGCATGTAGATAGAACGCGAGATGAATCACAGGATCTCCTAAAAGTAGACTATTTCATACAACCACAAAGTATGAGCATTTGAAAACGTCCCCTTTTCCTTTCGATTATACTTTATCATCAATTGGGTTTCTTGGTACATGTCAATATTACTCGAGATCAACATCTATAGGTTCTAGAGAGAACCCATTCCCGACCTCCTAAGTTTGTATATGAGATTGTTGCTTACGCGAAAAGATTATGCCAATTTTGTGTAAAAGTATTATGAAGCCATCCTCGTTGTAATTTGTAAATAACATAAATCAGCTTTATCTACATTGGATATGAAAGCTATCCTAATTTCCCTATGGCCCTTCTTTCTTTATGCCTCCACCCTCCAAACCTTCAGCAAAACCCCACCGCCGCCGTCCCCCACCCGACCACCGTCGGATTTCACGAGCCTACAACGCTGAATTCCAATTCCAAGAGACATTTCATCCTCAAATCAGCTTCACTCTGTCTAATTTCATTGATTCCAAAATGCCCAGTTGCCCAATCTTCTCAAATTTCGCCTACTTCGAAACAAGGCCTTCCTGGCCTTGCAAATACAAAGTCTTGGTTTCAGTTTTATGGTGATGGGTTCTCCATTCGTGTGCCGCCTCAGTTTGAAGACCTCACCGAGCCTGAGGTATGCACAAAATACTTCACTGATTTCTGTTTGTTTAATCGTAGCGTTCTGTGTGTTACCTCTGCTTCCACCAATATGAATAAGTCAATGTTATCTATGGTTCATATTTGTTTGGCAACACACATGTTTAGTTGCTGTTAATGTCAATGGCATTAAGCAGAAGGCTCCAGCTTCAAGGCTTTGAGAATACCCCTTAATGTTTTGATGGGGAATTCTAACTTCAGGCTTTAGAATTATTAATTGGCGTTGCTAGGTGGGGTTGAGAGACAGAGTCAGATTTCGTTCAGTATCAGGGTCTGGCCATTTTGGGGTTCTTGGATTGTGAGATCCCAAAATGGTTGGAGAAGAGAATGAAGCATTTCTTATAATAGTGTGGAAACCTTTCCATAGTAGACGCGTTGTAAAACCTTTAGGGGAAACCTGAAGGGAAAGTTCAAAGAGGAAAATATCCGCTAGCGGTGGGCTTGGTACTAGGCGGTATGCCAGTGAGGACGTTGGTCCCCAAGGGGTGGATTGTGAGATTCCACATCGGTTGGAGAGGAGAACGAAGTATTCCTTATAAGGGTGTGGAAACCTCTCCCTAGCATATGCATTTTAAAACCTTGAGGGGCAACCTAAAGGGAAAGTCAAAAAGAACAATATCTGCTAGCGGTGGGCTTGGTAGCGGGTGGTGTGCCAGTGAGGACGTTGGTCCCTAAGGGGGGTGGATTATGAGATTCCATATCGGTTGGAGAGGAGAATGAAGCATTTCTTATAAGGGTGTGGAAATCTCTCCATAGCATATGCGTTTTAAAACCTTGAGGAGAAACCCGAAGGGAAAGCCCAAAGAGGACAATATTTGCTAGTGGTGGGCTTGGCACCGGGCGGTGTGCGAGGACTCTAGGCCTTCAGGGGGGTGGATTGTGAGATCTCACATCAGTTGGAGAGGAGAACGAAACATTCCTTATAAGGGTACCTCTCCCTAGCATAAGCGTTTTAAAATCTCGAGGGGAAGCTCGAAGGGAAAGCCCAAAAAGAACAATATCTGCCGGCCCGGCTTGGGCGGTTACATGGATAGTTGAATTTTTTCTTGATTTTATTGGTGTATTCCACACAAGAGCTTGATGTGATCTTCATGTAAAGAAACAACAGCTACTAATTAGACTATATCTTTGTTCAACTCCTCTCCTACCTTTAGGCATTCTTATAACTATTCCCTTATGCTCGGTAGCTGTGGCCTTTTCTTGTACTTGTAAAAGGCTTATCATTTGCAGCTCGCTAAGTTATGTGTTGGGGCTTGTAGGATTTCAATGCTGGACTATCTCTTTATGGAGATAAGGTAAAAACGAAAACATTCGCAGCTCGGTTTGGATCTCCTGATGGGTAATCATATTTCTCTTCGTTCATATTGTTTTCTTTATATATTTGGCTTATATTCATTCTGCTTTGTTGGTTAACACAGCTCTGAAGTTCTAAGCGTTGTCACTCGTCCAACGAATCAACTTAAGATCACCTTTCTAGAGGTAGCACAATGATGGCTGTGAAGTTTTCATTTGGTAATTCTAAAGAGCATCAATTTCTTACTAAATAGTTCATATCTAGCAAACCGTTTCTAAGCTCGGTGGCTCTTTCGTACTAAGAAGCTCTACCTAGAGAAAATCCCCATCAAATCTTAAACTGTTAAGTCATGTTTTGGAGCTTTTAAGCCCAAGATTGTTTGTTCACTGTTAACTCTGAGCTTCCCAAAGAGGTTTTTGAAGTTTCTAGTCACAAACTTCGATAAAAAGATTCTGTTTTAGTTCTACGTACGTGCTTATTGAGTTATGTTCGTGTTTTATGGATAACGGTTTTAGGAGCTTCCGTTTTCTTGCGAAAAACAGGCGAAAGATATAACTGATATAGGTTCTTTGAGGGAGGCTGCAAAAATCTTTGTTCCAGGTGCACATTTTGTGTTCAATATGCTAAGTAACTTTTTTGTGGTCATTTGGCTACACATCTCATTCTAGCTATTGGTTTTGGTGTTCTGACAACGATAGGTGGTGCAACTTTATTTTCGGCCCGAACGTTTAAAATTAAGGACGATGAAGGTTTCAGGTAATTATGCTACCAAGGCGTCCTTTGCTAGTTCGATTTATTTTTATCTTTTCGAGCTTTGATTAAGATCAATGAAACAATGGAATTGGATAATACAAAATGAAGAAAAGCCCACTTTAGAAAGAGCTTGTAGAAAGAAAGTCAGACTCGAGATTACGAAAATGGCTGTGGTTGTTGAGAAGAAGAGGCAAAGGCTAGTTATAGAAATCCTTAGAAATCAAAACTCTAGAAAGGAAGGAACCTAACCATAGAGCATGCCTCTCGAAGGGCTCATGAGCTATCTAAAGGGCGGATCGATTGTTCCACAAAATAGGTAAGAAGTTTCGGTACACCAAAGAGTCCATCATTGAGCGATAGATTGAATGAGTTCAAGCTATGGTAGCCACGTATCGAAGGTTTATTGTAACGACTCAGATCCACCGCTAGCAGATATTGTCCTCTTTGGGCTTTCCCTTTCGGGCTCGCCCTCAAGGCTTTAAAACGCGTCTACTAGGGGAAGGTTTCCACACCCTTATAAATGGTGGTTTATTCTCCTACCCAACCAATGTGGGACATAACAACCACCCTCCTTCGAGGCCCAGCGTCCTTGCTGGCCTTGCTGGCACTCTTTCCTTCCTCCAATCAATGTGGAACCGCCCCCAAATCCACCCCCCTTTGAGGCCCAGCATCCTTACTGGCACACCGCCTCGTGTCTACCCCCCTTCGGGGAACAGCGAGAAGGCTGACACATCGTCCGGTGTATGGCTCTGATACCATTTGTAACGACCCAGATCCACCGCTAGCAGATATTTCCTCTTTGGGCTTTTCTTTTCGGGCTCGTTCTCAAGGCTTTAAAACACGTCTGCTAGGGGAAGGTTTTCCACACCTTTATAAATGGTGGTTTGTTCTCCTCCCCAACCAATGTGGGACATCACATTTATATTTTACGAGTTTTCTTGGCAACCAAGTATGATAGGGTTAGACAACCGTCTTAAGGTTTAGATGGAATGAGTTCAAGCTATCGTAGCCATGTACCTGCGGTTTATATTCTACGAGTTTTCTTTGCAACCAAGTATGATAGGGATAGACAATTTTTGAAGTTAGTGCATCCTAACTCACAAGAATATAAACAATGCTATGAAATAATAATCTTGATCTAGTCTTCTTTGCCTATATAAGCTTTCAGAATTTTCATTTGATTACCTCTGTTTCGTTAAATTCAGGACGTATTACTTCTACGAGTTTGGGAAGAACGAAGAACACGTCGCATTAGTAGCAACTGTTAATAGTGGACAGGTTTGTGATATACAATTTACCTTACATACTAAAATTCTTACTCTGATGAATGACCTGAGTTTGAGCCATTTGACTTGCTTTATGACATTTGGATGAAGTTATAAAATGGTATAACTTGTATGAATAAGAGTTGATTCAAAGTTAAATTGTTCATGCCAGTAAATTCTTATTAATTGATGGGAATATGGCGAACATAACTTTAAAATTTTGTCTAGCTATGAGAACGAAGCATTCCTTAAAAGGGTGTGGATCCTCTCCCTAAAAGACGCGTTTTAAAACCTTAACGAGAAGCCCAATAGGGAAAGCCCAAAGAAGATGATATTTGATAACGGTGAACTTGGGCTGTTACAAATGATAATAGAGCCAGACACCGAACGGTGTGCTAGCGAGGACGCTGAGCTCCCAAGGGGGGTGGATTGTGAGATCCCACATAGATTGGAGAGGGAAATGAAGCATTCCTTATAAGGGTGTGGAAACCTCTCCCTAGAAGTCGCGTTTTAAAATCTTGAGGGAAGCCTCGAAGGGAAAGTTCAAAGAGGACAACATCTGCTAGCAGTAAGTTTGGGCTGTTACAAATGGTATTAGAGCTAGACACTGAACGGTGTTCCAGTGAGGACATTGGGCTCCCAAGGGGGTGGATTGTGAGATCCCATATCGATTGGATAGATGAACAAAGCATTCCTTATAAGGGTGTAGAAACCTCTCCCTAGAAAATGTGTTTTAAAACCTTGAGGGGAAGCCCAAAAGGGAAAGCTCAAAGAGGACAATATCTGCTAGCGGTGGGCTTGGGCGGTTACAAATGGTATCATAGTATGACACCGAGCGGTGTGCTAGCTAGGATGCTGGGCTTTCAAAGGGGATAGATTGTGAGATCCCACATCGATTGGAGAGAGGAATGAAGCATTCCTTATAAGAGTGTGGAAACCTCTTCCTAGAAAACGCGTTTTAAAACCTTGAGGGGAAGCCAAGAAGGAAAAACTCAAAGAGGACAATATCTGCTATCGGTGGGCTTGGGCTTGGGTTGTTACAAACTCGTCCAATTTGTCTTAACATAGCGTCTTCTTTGTCGTAGGCGTTTGTTGCCGGAGCAACCGCACCATTGTCCAAATGGGATGAAGATGGCATAAAACTCCGTTCTGCTGCTATATCCCTAACCGTACTATAATCAATTGTTGATCAAGTTATTTTCATTAGCTTGTGAGTACTCTCCAAAACTTTACTCTCATGAATTGAATATCATATAAAATCTCGAATAAATTATAAATTTATATCGTGAACTTTGAATATTATGCCTATTTAATCCGTAAATTTCAAAAAAAAAAAAAAAGAATTATGCTCCTTAACTCTTGATGATGCTCGTACTTAGCTGCTAAATTAATACCATTAACGACATGCTTGATTGAGTTGACATGATATGCTGAAGTAAATGATCGTAGTGTTCAATATCTAGAGAATATAATCGAACCTAAAATCTTCGTTACGGTGAGCATGAAGTGAACTATTTTACGATCACTAGGCCTTAATGAACTTCATTTTAACATCACTCGACCTTTTTGTAACTATGATCTAATCTGATTAGGTTGGATTGGAACACTTTCTTCGTTCATTTCTTTCCATGAAAACTCGGTTTCTTACTAAACGAACGTACAAACAGATTGTTTAAACTTAATTTGTGAGAATTGTTTGATTGTGAGTGACCCTTCAATCTCTTGAACGGACAGGAGGAAGCTTTTGGTAAGTCCCCCAGTTGGCAGAGAGACAGCTAGATTTGTGTATACATTTTTGTAAGAATTGTACTTTGAAATGGGTATGCTGAGTGATGAGTGGTGCTTCATTAATGTGGTACCCTTTGTTCTTATATGATTGTTGACAAACTTGAACTCGTTTTCTCTTTTGATAAGGTATATAGATATGTCCACGGGATGGAGAGTGGAGATCGGGAAGCTTTCCTTGTCTTTGTCCACGCCTCTAGTTTTAAACCTCATTTTCGTGAAATTCTCTATTTATGTAATAGTCTAAGCTCACCGCTAATGGATATTGTCTGTTTTGACCTATTATATATCGCTATCAGCCTTGTGGCTTTAAAACATGTCTACTAGGGAGAGGTTTCCACACCCTTATAAGAAATGCTTCATTTCCCTCTCCAATCCACCCCCTTGGGGTCCAGCGCCCTTGTTGGCACACTGTCCAGTGTCTGATTCTGATACCATTTGTAACAATCTAAGCCCACCGCTATCAGATATTGTCCGCTTTAGCCAGTTACGTATCGCTGCACATTGTCCAGTGTCTAACTTTGATACCATTTGTAACAATTTAAGCCCATCGCTAGCAGATATTGTCCGTTTTGGCCAGTTACGTATCGCTGAGGTTTTCATATTTCGTTCTCCTTTCCAACCAATGTGGGATCTTACAATCCATCCCCTTTGGGGACCCAGCGTTCTCTTTGGCACACCGTCCTGTGTCTGACTCAATATCATTTGTAACAGTTCAAGTCTACCGCTAATAGATTGTAACGGCCCAAGCCCACCGTCGTCATGTGTCTGACTCTGATATCATTTGTAACAATTCAAGTCTACCGCTAGCAGATTGTAACGACCCAAGCCCATTTCTAGCAAATATTGTCTTCTTTGGGCTTTCTCTTTTGGGCTTCCCTTCTAAGTTTTTAAAACGTGTCTAGTAGGGGAAGGTTTCTACACCCTTACAAGGTGTATTTTGTTCTCCCCAACTAATGTGGGACATCACACAGATATTGTCTGCTTTGGTTCGCTACGTATCACTAGCAGTCTCAAGGTTTTAAAACACGTCTAGTAGAGAGAGGTTTTCACACTCTTATAAGGAATGTTTCATTTTTCTATCCAACCGACATAGGATCTCACAATATTTTTTAAAATATTTAAAAGCCTCACTATTTTTTTATTAATGAATTGTTTGATTCCATGTCTAAACATAAGATCCATTGTTCATAGCCATTATCAGATCTTAGTTGTGTAATGAATGCAAGGCCACTAGAGCTCTAGAGGTAAAGCCAATTTGTTGTCTAAGGGCGGATCGGAATATTTTCCGGTGAGTATTTGCGACGACACAAACTGATTCGCTGCTTCTGAGTAATGAATTCCATCCCAATTGATATACTTCGAGCTATTGTCGCACCCTTTTCCCGTGACCGTCGTCCCATTTAACGTCTTCGTCTGTCCACAGCCGATATCCCGATCGTAGTTCAGAGGTGGACCTCCATAGCCACAGCAAGCCATGATAGGTTGTTCGAACCCTGCCATACAACAATGCTGCAAGTCATCAAGATTTTACAAGATTAACCAAGACTATATGAACAGAAGTAGAAGCAAGATGGCCGACCGAGCCGTGAATAATTGGCGATGAGATTCGACTTTATCGAGTAGATATCGACGTATGTGACCGTGCCATCGGTGTATTGGCCCTGCAGTTTCTTACAGAGAGCATGAAGCTGTAGATTGAAGAGCTTGGCAGCTTGGTTGTGTGAAGTGACGCATCCAAATTCATCGAGCTTTGATGGGTCGGTTCCAAATTTAGCAACGTTCTGAGCTAAGCATCCTAGGGGACCTGTGTTGTGTATCCAGAAATTCCTGGCCCCTTCATTGTACAGTTGCTGAAAAATAGGCATAGCGAAGGAACGAGTAACAACAAGCAACTTAAAAAATACTCTTAAACTTTCAAAAGTTTAAAAAACGCTAGTTTTTGATGAAAATCGTTAATATTTCGTTTATATTATTGAATTTTCAAAAGTGTTTTCAACTTTCAAAATTACATTTATACCCTTTCAACTTTTTTATTCGTATCTTTAGTATACGAACAGAACCGATAGTATCATGTATTAAAAATAACTATAAATTTTCAAGAGGAGCATTAATATTTTTAATTTTTTTTAAAAAAAAAAGTTAAAAAATTTTTTACCCTCACTCGGTTAAAGTAGACCCGAGAAAGAAAATGAGACAGAGAGATGATCCATAAGATATTGAAAAATGGTCAACAGTATTAATGCTACATTTGATAGTTCATTAGTATTTTTTAAACGCTGTGCTCAGTCCGTATAGCAATAGTAAGAATATTTAAAAAAATGTTTAAAGATATTTTTTAAATACTTTTGAACGATGGATAGTATTTTTGAAACAAGTATTAACGGTTTTTAGCCAAAACTAACTATAGGAAGAAACCATTGGTCTAACCTGAATTTCGTTCTCAAACTCGGCTAAAATGGATGGTATCGAGGCAAGAATTTGGTCGAGGGTTTTGGAGTAAAACGAACCAGCAAGATCATTTTGACCAATATCAAACATGTATAGCCCCTTTTGGAAGTAATCTTCATCTGGTAGGTATTTATCAAGCTTCTTACCACCTAAACAAAGCAACACAAACCATTTCGGGATGTTCGTAAAACTCGATAACTCGAAAATTTCAATCGTTCAAAATCAATTCGTTCCGGTTGAATTGGCCTATGAACTTATTTAAATTTGATTAGGTTCAATTGAATTAAACTAAATGTATACGTGTATTTATTTTATTATGAATTTTATTTAATTTATAATTATTTTTTATTATTTATTCTACGACTACTCTCGAAAATAATTTTTGAACCGTATGAAAGGTAATTTTTTAAATATATATTAAAATTGAGTTGTTAATCTTAATTAAATGGTCGATAATAAATAAATAAATATTTTAGGAACTAACATTTTATTTTTATTAAAAAATTAAATTTAAATAAATAATTCAAACCACTTGAAACAAAATTAAATCTCTAAATATATTGATATTTTACTAACTACCATTTTATTTTTATTAAAAAAAATTAAATAAATAGCTGGAACAACTCAAACCAACCTAATCCAAAATTTCATAGTTGGGCTGGATTGAACCTAATCAAATATTTGAAAATAAATAAATATATATTTTATAAACTAACATTTTATTTTTATTAAAAACAAAAATGTGAATATATAGCGGGAATAACCCAACTTAACACAACCCAAAAACTTTATGATCGAATTGGGTTAATTTTAATTAAATATTTAAATAAATAAATACGATACGAATTAATATCTTAAAATTAAATAAATGATCTAAATAGATCGAACCAACTCAACCTAACTGAAAAAATTACCTTTGGCAGCTCGGAGCTCAAGAACTCTCGCTTTGAAATGGAGAAACTGATTCAACTGAACCCCAAGGGAAAAAGGGGAGACAGCCGTAGCGGCTGCCGGAAGAATAGTGGACCCTGCCGCTGCATAATTGCACCCCTTCCGAAAACTTGGCGCGCCAACCGAATCCAGATACGGATTCAAATAAGGCATATCCATCGCATCCACTGCACCAAAAACACATCGCCAACAAAATCCAAAGCTTAGCGTGCGGGCCATTAAAAAGTCATTACGGTTAGACGAACACGACTCTTCACAATGATATGATATTGTCCACTTTGAGCATGAGCTCTCATGGCTTTGCTTGGGCTTCCCAAAAGGCCTCAGGTTAGTATTCCTTACTTATAAACTCATGATTATTCCCTAAATTAGCCGATTTGGGACTTTCATCATCCAACAATTACCATTGAGATATAGATAAAAATAGTGTGTATGGTTGATTGTTGGGAGTGATTACCGCTAATCTAGGGAATGATCATGAATTTATAAGAAAATAAATACATCTGGATTTGAGGTGTTTTGGAGAACCCCAAAGCAAAGCAATGAGAGATTATGCTCAAAGTAGACAATATCACAAGAGTCATGATTCCTAACATTTATTTACGTCTCAATCATGGACATACACAAATAATACTCTCTCCATTGATTTGAGACCTTTTGGGAAAGTCCAAAGCAAAACAATGAGAGCTTAAGCTCAAAGTGGACAATATCATACCATTGTGAAGAGTCGTGTTCGTCTCGATGAAGTTAGTATTCCTCACTTATAAACTCACGACCATTCTCTAAATTAGCCGATGTGGAACTTTCATCATCCAACACTTCCCCTCGAACAAAGTGCGCCGCCCCTTAATCGAGACTCGACTTCTTTGGAGTCTTAGTCATTTTTTAGTACCTTTGAGGAGGCTTACTCATTTTCTTTTAGAGTTCTTTGTTCAATATTTGAGAATTTACCCATCTATTGGCACGACTAAGTTCTCAATCTATCGATATTTTAATTTTTTTAGAACTTAGAAAAAAAAATTCTTTTCCAACGAATCTTTAAAATAAAATTTTAAGTTTTAAAATTATATATTGAAATTGGGTTTTCATCATCTATGTTACAACACTTTATATGTAAGAGTCCAAAGTCACCGCTAGTAGAGGTTTTTAAATGCGTCTATTATGAAGAAATTTCTATACTCTTGTAATGAATGTTTAGTTCTCCTATTCAATCGATGTGAGATCTTATAATCTACTCTCCTTGGAGGCCAACGTACTCGCTAGCACATCGTCCGGTGTCTTATTTTGATACTATTTACAACCGCTCTAAGCCCACAATCAGTAGATATTATTTGTTTTGACCTTTAAGTATGGTTAGTTTCGTGATTTTAAAATAGGTTTACTATGAGAGGTTTCTACCCGACTAAAAAATGATTTAAATTTAGATTGAGTTTAATATTTAATAAAGATAGTAAAAGAAATATATGATGAAACTGGAATTATAAAAGGGAAGAGTATGGAGTGGAAGAAAATTTACTGAGAAAATCAACGATGAGGCGGCCATTGCAGAACCTTCCAGTCGAAGGAGTTTTGAAGTAATTTTGTCCGTAAGGCAAACTCAGGCTAAATCCCTTGCCGGCGACGAGATCGCCGGTGTCGGAGTTTGAATCGCCGAAGTTGAACACTGCCGGATAATCGAATACAGCCGAACTTCCGATCCGGAAAAT